TCCTTGTACCCCCAATATGTTTTTCCCAATAAAAAAATATTTTAAAAAAAAGTTGCAAATAGAGATACCATTCGACCCAGCAATTCCACTACTGGGAATATACCCCAAAGAGACCATAACTGACATCCAAGCAGATATATGCACACCCATATTAATCACAGTTTTGTTCACAATAGCAAGGAGTTGGAACCAATCCAGGTGCCCATCAACAAATGAATGGATAGAGAAGCTGTGGTATATTCACACAATGGAATACTATGCCGCATTGAAAAACAAGGAACTTATGCAATATTATTAAAAATGGGTGACCCTGGAGGACCTTCTGCTGAGTGAAGTATCTCAGTCACAAAAAAGACAAATACTGCATGGTGCACTGATGTAAAGCAGGACTGACCTCGGGGTTGGAAGGAGACTGAGAAGGATGGGCTCAGTAATGTATACTGCATTGAAACATATGATGGAGAAAACTGTTTAAGAGGGAAAATTATTAAGTATTTTTGTCATGATAGAAGTCCAGAGTGAAGGTTGCATAATGGAGTGAACCTGGGGGGAAGGATTGTAAAACAATGAAAGAATTTTTCTTTTACTTTTCCAGTAGGAAGGGAGAAAAGTGCAACAATGAATGAATGGAAATTAAAAAAAAAAAACCAAACCAAAAATATAAACTTTATAAAGTATTTTAAAACATGGAGGAGGTTGTTTTATTTTTACTTTCTCATTTACAATATGCACACCTATGTTTGTTGCTGCATTGTTCACAATAGAAAAGTTATGGAAACAACAGATGCCCATCAACAAACAAATGGATAGAGAAGCTGTGGTATATTCACACAATGAAATACTACGCAGCACTGAAAAATCAATGAACTAATAAAATATTATACAAAATGGAATACGCTTGAGGACATTATGCTGAGTGAAATATCTCAGTCACCAAAGGACAAATACTGTTATAAAACAGGACTGATATGAGAGTTGGGGAGAAATTAAGAAAAGAGGGAATAAATAATGTACACTGCTTTGAAACAGATGAGGGAAAGAACTATTTAAAAGGAGTATATGATTATATATGCATGGCAACAGTCCCGAATAAAAGGTGCACATATAGCAAAGGGGATGGGGGATGTAGTAAATTGTGCAACAATGAAATAATTTTTTTTTAAAGAAAAGAGAAAAGTGAACTACAGAAAGTGGTAGGGAGGAAAATGTGCAACAATGAGTGGAAATCCAAGTTTTCTGTGAACTTTCATTAAAATTTCAATAAAAATATTTTTTAAAAGGAAAGTAAAAGATAAAATGCCTCAGACATTTAAAAAATAAACAACAAACATGCACAATACTTTTGAGGTCCAACAAAGGGTCTATCAAGGTTGATTTGCTATTATAAGACTTGTTCTTGTTGTTCCTGTTGTTGTTAGGTGCCAAACTTTCACTATCATTTCATCGAAGAAACACCTTGGCTGTACTTTCTCTAAGATATATCTGTTTGTTCCTTTGACATTCCATGAGATATTCATTTCTCCAGCACCACAACTCAAAGGCATCAGTTCTTCTTCTGACATACTTATTCACCGTCCAACTCTCAGATGCATAGGAAGTAATTAATGAGACCATAGTTTGAATCAGGAGCACCTTAGTCTTTAAACTGACATTGCTCCTTCTTGGCACCTTGGAGATGTCCTTGACATCATATTTCCCCAATGCAGCACATCTTTTGATTTCTTGACTGCTGGTACAAAGGTGTTGATTATGGATTCATGATGAAATTGTTAACAACCTCACAACTAACAGAAGAAAGTATATTATGCATTGACTAACCTGAACACTAGTTAGATTGGTGAAAATTTCTTTCTAATGGGCAATAGTAGAGATTTTTTTTATTTCCTGAAGTGACTTTTTATTAGTAGTGTAATGAGTGAATTTACATCATGTTTACATTTTTTATAATTGTTGCTTTGTTCTGTCTTCAGCTTTTGTGACTCTAGTTTTGCTGAAAGGTATAAATGGATAACTTTTAAGATCTACTGTAAAACCTCTTCTCATACAGGGATTTTTTTTAAAAAAAATGTGTTGATAATAGTAAACTATAATATAATATAGTCCACTCTCTATTTTAGGTTCATTTAAAACTCTTGAAATGAAGGCATCAAAACCTGGCTGGTGGCTCCTAAACACAGAGGTTGGGGAAAACCAGGAAGCAGGGATGCAAACATTGTTCCTCATCGTAGACAGAGGTATGTAATATTTTCATCAGTAAAGTGTGTGTCACTGGAATATACCAAGGTTTTTTCTGGAAATGTCCAATCCTGAGAACTCTGATGCACTAGGTTCATAACCTGTAGCTATATAATTACTTTTACACTGGCCCATGTTCCCTCAGTAAGATGAACTGTTACAGTGGTTGCATCTAAAGCACTGACTGTGACACAGATGGCACAGGACAGAGCAGTGGTTCATTCTGTTCCACCTTGGACTGTCAGACTCAGTTCCCCAGCATCTAACGACACCTATCACATCGCACTGCAAACATATTAGTCATCAGGCAAACATAAACAAAATGGTTCCCTCCAAAGGTACCCTAGCTACTCAACTGGGGAACAAGTATAAAAATGTGGGAGTTTTTTCATGATTTTGATCCATAGTGTAATGAATTAAGAATGAAAAAGGAAAGTAAGTTTATGCAGGGATGTATCTCTTAGCAAGAAATTGATATTCCTGAGTGGTGAGACTACAGCTATTATAATTTATAAAGTAATTAAGATGAAGAGAAATGTGGAAAGATGGTAAGTAAAATTGTATCTCAGATCGATCTTCCATTGGCTCTTGTCCAAGGGTGAGCTGACAGGTCTCCAAAAGCAAAGCTTCTTGATGTGTCATAAGCAAAAGACAAAGAGAGAATGGCTAAAGGGCTTGACTATTTCAGACTGAAGGAGTATATGTGCTGGGGTGAATAGGAAAAGGACAAGGGGAGAAAGACGGTGTCAGCATTGACAGTCTAGCTTCATAGTGTGTGATGACGGCCTTGTGGTCATTACCCTCAGCTCGAATGATTTCAAAGCAAGAACATTCTCTGACTTCTGGAATCTAAAATAAGATCTTGCTGAATGCAGTGGTACACATAATCATAGAGCTTACCACTGAGAGTCTGTAGAAAGGGATCTACTTTCTCTAAGGTATAAGGCTATAGAGACAGTGGAAGGTGAACCTGCTGCCCATTGCCTTTGCATGTGGAAATGTACATGTAAGAAATCCTCCAGGATCCTCAAGTAGTAGTAGTTGTTGTTGTGTATCATAGAGTCAAAGCCCACTCATAGCAGACCCACCAGTGGGTTTTCAAAAGCAGTAAATCACACAGGAGGAGAGGAGGATATTACCCATCTTTCTCCTGAGGAGCAACTGGTAGATTAAAGCCACATAAATTTGAGTTGGCAACTCTGCTTGAGGGAAAAGATACCAGGTATTTATCAGCAACTGAATTAGACACTAAATTTGGCGTTTCACTATTCAAGAGGAACAGACCTTATCAATCCACTCGTTAAGCATTTACTAAGCATCATTAAGGGATCCCTGGTGGCCTCATGAGTAAGGAGTTATACTGCCAACACAAAGAAAAGTAGTTCAAGTCCACCAGCTGCTCCTTGGGAGAAAGAAGAGTCATCTCTTCCAGTGTTATTCATAGCCTGTGAAAACCCACTGAAGAGTCAGCAATGAATTAGCTCTGAATCGATGGCACATAACAACAACAGGCATCGACTGGTTCTGATTTGGTGACACATAACAACAACAGAAGCACCCATTGAACCTTCATCCAGGTAGCACAGTGGCTGGTATATGGGTCCTTGAATAAAAAACCGACTTATAGCTGACCCTGCAGAGAATTTTCAAAGGCTGTAAATCACATGATAAGAGATTGCTTATCTTCTTTGAATAAGATGTAAATGACTTTGTAACTGTCAGGCAAATTTTTGAGAACACAATCTCATGAGCTCTTTAGATTGTAAAATTACTTGCTTTAAGAAGCAAAAGTATGGAAATTTAAGACTCAATTGCATTTCCTCCATTTACAGGAAAGCTGTAGGCAAATGCATAGATACAGAAAGTAGATTAGTGGTTACTGGTGACTGGTGCAGGTAGGGTGGCGTAGTGTGTAGAGAGTTGAGCTGGTAACCCAAAGGCTGTGTGCTTGCTTCTCTGGCAGTGAGCTTCCATCAGCTGGACTGAGAGAGAAGGACGGGCAGCCTCCTCCAGTTCAATTCGCAGCCTTGAGTCAGGACCAACTCAATGGCAGTATATATATATATATATATATGTGTGTGTGTGTGTGTGTGTGTGTGTGTGTCTAAGAGAGAGAGAGAAGAGGTAATAGAAAATCCTGTGGTTTTGTAGCAACAGAGTTTCAGTTTGGGGTAATAAGAACATTTTAAAAAGAAATATTCAGTGGCAATGGTTGGAAAAAAATTAGTCTCATTTCAAGATTTCCATTGTTTTTCTCTGGTATATCACCACTTCTGTTGAAGCAACAATCTTGCTAGTCCTTTTTTTTTTTCATGAACAGACATATTTAAATTAGGGCCATAAAAGAAAATAATTTATTATTGACACATCAGAGATAGCAGCCATTAGCTATAGAGTTTTTATTTTACTTTGTGGATTTTATAACCAAAATGTATTTCTTTTCTATTGTATTATTTTTCCCCTAGAATGTAAAATGCCAATGGGACTAAGCACTGGCGTGATATCAGATTCACAGATCAAGGCTACTGAACATCTAGGTAAGTACTAGTGTATGAGTCTCTCTCTCTCACTTCCCTCAAGTCAGAACCTACTAAGAGTTGACCCTCCAAGAAGTTTTCAGAAGTTTTAAATAACATGAGAGAACATTTCCCTTATTTATCTCTTGGAGCAACTGGGGGTTTCAAACAGCCCACCTTCGGGTTGACAGTGCAACTCCTTATCCACTAGGCCTGCAAGAAATAAATACTGTAGTCAGAGGAAGCTATAGCATGAAGGGTATCATTGCTTAGGCCAGATAGATCTTGGCTGAAATAGAGAATACCAGGAAGGTGTTTATATGTGTTTGGTTGACTATGCAAAGGCACTTGACCAAGTGCATAATCCATAAAATTATGGATAACAATGGGAAGAATGGGAATCCCAGAACACTTAATTGTGCTCATTAAAAATCTTTACATAGACTAAAAAAGCAATTGTTTGAACAGAATAAGGAACACTATGTGGTTTAAAATCAAGAAATCTTTGTGTCAGGGGTGTATCCTTTCTCTATACCTACTCAATCTGTATGCTGAGCATACAATTCAAGAAGCTAAATTATATAAGAACGTAGCATTGGGACTAGAGTAAGATTCATCAGTAATCTGTAATCATACAAATAACACAGCTTTGCTTGCAGAAAATGAAAGAAGTTGAAACATTTGCTGAAGACCAAAGGCTACAGCCTTCAATGTGATTATACCTTAATATCAAGAAAGCACAAATCCTCACCACTAGATCAACAGGCAAAAATCATGATAGATGGCGAAGAGATTGAAATTGTCAACTATTTTACTTGCTTGGATTCGCAATCAACACCAGTCAAGGAATAGTAACAACAGGAAAAAGATCAAAAGACTCATTGCATTGAGAAAAATCTGCTATCAAGGACTGCTCCAATGTGCTAAAAAAAAAAAACTGCAAATTTAAAGACTAAATGCACCTGACCAATAAGCCTTGGTATTTTCAGTTGCTTCCTATGCATCTGAAAGTTGGACAATGAATTAGGATGATAGTAGAATTGATCCCTCTGAATTGTGGTATTTGAAAAGAGTACTGAATATCCCATAGACTGCCAAAAGAATAAATGAGTCTGTCTTAGAGTAAATGCAACTACGGTGTTCTTTAAAGGCAAGGATGGTGAATTTTTTAATATCGTTTGGGAATATTATCAAGAGAGACCAGTCCTTGGAAAAAGACATTAGGCAGAGAGTCAGAGGAAGACCCCTAAGCGCATAGATTGAAACAGTGACCTTACCAGTGGGCCTATCATACAGTGTGAAGATGGTGCAAGACAGAATGAGTACAATCTGTTGTTTACAGAATTGCTCTGAGTAGAAGTCTACCCCAGGACATTTAATTAGCAACAAAAACCCATTGCTATTAAATCATTTTCAAGTCATAGTGACCCTCTATCAAGTTCCTGATGCTGTAAATTGTAATGGGAGCAGAGAGCCTCATCTTTCTCCCATGAAGTGGCTAGATGATTCAAACTGTTAGCCTGTCAGTTTGAAGCCCAACACATCATTTGCAGCCTACAAAACCTTATTTGGAAACTCGGCCTGCTAATTCAACAGATCTGTGTTCTCCAGCTTCTCTTCACTACGTCATAGTAAAGCAGCTAAATTTGGGATGCTTTCCTTGAGAAGAGAGAGCACTATGGTTAGAGCTGAAATCTATCAGTACTATCTGTCACTGCCTCTCCTTCTAGTGGTTCCCAGGTTGTCTCTTCCAGGAAAGACTTAAGAGCTGGAGAACCTTAGGATTTCTACACAGGCAGTTTCTTTGCAGGGACATGGCAAGGAGTTGGTAATGCACTTTATGATCATTCCAGAACTCTTTTCATTCCTCCTTTCTGGATTTGATCACACATATAATAGCCCATCCAAGTTCACGGGTTTTTATCCACCAAGTATTAGCTCATTTAATATGTCCCTTTTGCCTATACCAACTGTTCGTCTAGTTAAGTAGCTTTTTTGTTGATTACCTACTATGTGTCAAGAACTCCTCCTACGTCTCTCTGCCTTAAAGTCTTTCCCAAGGAATGAAGTCTAGTAAAGGGACCATGGGGCTCCCATGCCCTCCTCCTAGGTCTTCCTGCTAAGCAGGTGTACTCAGCAGAAGCCACATAACATAACAGAGAAAAGAGAAACATGACCTTTGTGGAGGTAAGGATTGCCAGCTGGCCCAACACAATTCTGAAGCCCATATTTCATCATTTAAGAATGGACATAGTAGCCAAGGCCTCAATCAACTGCCTCTGATCTAACTGCAGGACCAGGTCCTTCAAGAATCTGGGTTTCTACTGAGGTTAAACTCATTTGAGAAATTGCTCATTGCATGTTTGCTGAAATAATTTGAATAAATTATTATTTCTCTTCTTTTGAATTTAGGTTATTGGGAGCCCAGATTAGCAAGATTAAACAATGGTGGATCGTATAATGCTTGGAGCATAGAAAAGGTTTCCGGGGATTTTGGCTCTAGATCCTGGATCCAGGTGTGCCTTTGCTTGTCTGCTATCTGCTAGAACAGTAATCATGACAATGACTTTAATATCTTTTTTTGCCATTATCATTGTTTTTGCAATCTTATCAGGTGAAATGATAATTACTAGGTGTCAGTCATTCTGAGTGTCCAGGTGCTTATGGTGATAAATACACTTAGTTGTTAAGCGGATTAGAGGTCTAAGTCCACCCAGAGACAAGGAGAAAGACCTGGTAAACTCCTTCCAAAACCAATTAGCCGTCGGAAACCCTGTGGAGCACAGTTCTAGCCTGGCATACGGGGGCTACCATGAGTTGGCGTCGACAATTGGTAGTTGGTAGGCACTATTTTAAATACTTTCATAAAGTCTAAAATGACCCCTAAGAGATTGAATCAGATAATATCCCACTTTATTGACGAAAAGAAACCTAAATTACAGATGAGCTAATTCTTACAGTCACGTACACCTAATTCGTGGTAAATCTGGATTCTTTGTGCTCCCATGTGCATTATGTTTAGTCATTTCATTTGCTGGCTAAGAGCATACGTGCTGACTTTTTAGTTCGAAAGAAAACTGACTATCTTGTGCGAGCCCGGGAGCGAAGCGGCGGCGGCGGCAGGAAGATCGCGAGCGGCGGCGGCAGTGGCTGCCCCCTTAGTGGTCGTTCCACCATTCGCTCAGATCCCGGACGGAGTAGGCGGCCCAGAGCAGCCTCTGCAGCCGCGCGCAGTGGTCGCAGCAGCCCCCGCCCCCGCCCCCTGGACGGGCCCGGGGCGAGATGTAGGGCGCTCGGCGGCGAGGCCGCCTGGGCTGCAGGAACGCGGAGGGCGCGCCGAGGATGGAGAGAGCGATGGAGCAGCTCAACCGCCTGACGCGTTCCCTGCGCCGCGCGCGCACCGTGGAGCTGCCCGAGGGAACCTGCCAAAGACTCCAAACAGCATCTCTATGTGCCACTGATATCTGAGCACTATTGGAGCAACTGGATCATATGGCCCAGCGAATTGAACAAAACCCTGAACCTGAGACAGCCTTTTTTCATTCTGGGCCCCACTCAAAACTAGCAGCTTTTCAAGTTTTACTCGACCAGAATAGCACAGAATAGCACATCCAGTGAGAGATGCGTTTCCTCTAAAATCCAAACAAGTCCTTTAGGCTTTCCCCCTCCTTTTTTAGTTGCAGTAACTTACCCTTCATGTTATAAAGAGTCTCTTCACAAGCTCCACATCACCAGATTCAGAAATACCTCTGAGGTGACTCAATTATTAAAGACCAGTTTCTCACCTTGTAGAATGCAAAAAAAAAAACAAAAACAAAAACAAAAAAAAAAACCCTGACTATCTTAAATAGTGTGTGACTTATTTGACGAGGACTGTTCTGCTTAATAACTTTGCTATTGTTGCAGGTGGACATGCAAAGGAATGTCATACTAACAGGGATCCAGACTCAAGGTGCCAAACACTACCTCAAGTCCTACTACACTACCGAGTTCTACGTGGCTTACAGCTCCGACCATACACACTGGCAAATCTTCAAGGGGAACAGCACAAAGAACCAGATGGTCTGTGTGATGCTTCTCTCTGAAACTCAGTCCAGGGTTACTATACTTAACGTTTATGCTGTGTTTTTTTCCTCCTAAAAATAACATACATTTTTAGGTTTAAAAATGTGAATGCCTTATGTAGGAATATGATGATATTATGGGTCTGTATATTACAAATTAAAGGGATAAAACCTGACTTCTAAAACTTCATAGTCGAAAAAACCTTGATCTCAATCTGCCATTCAACAAAAGACCCACTTTCTCAGATGGTGTCCAGCAGTGTTTCAGTCTTGCACCTTAAAGAACTCATCCTAAAAACTGGCCACCAAAAGTTTTAATTTTACCAACTTTGAGCTTTATTTCACTCTTTATCTCACTATCCTGAAGGAAATAGTAGCGTTACTGCCACTAATGCATGGTTCTCGGAACTTTTTTTCCTTCCATCATGCTGGTGGGATGAAGATCCTGCTTAATCTTTTGTGAGCTCAGCCAAGATTATTCCTACTGGCTCCATTATAATTGTTCTAATATCACCCCGTCCTTCCTAAATTCTCTCCACAACAACAACAACAAAATTTTGATTGCGGGGAGCTCTGGTGGCCTAGTGGCAAGAAGCTGCACTGCAATCCCAGAGGAACACGGTTCAAATCCACCAGATGCTCTGCCGGAGAAGGAGG